ACATCGGTGTGGATTCATTTAAACAGTTTGCTTTACAGTTATAAATTTTTGTTTTTTGCTACAACGGAAACTCCCTTCTTCGTATTAATCCACTATGTCTACTTTGATTTGTGTATTTATGCTTTGCTCCACAATTGAGTGAACATTTCAGGTTTTGCGCTGAAAAGGTTTAAATTAAAAAGTAGTAGATAAATTAAAGTTTTAAAGTTACCTGAAAGGTTTTCTTAGAACAATTTCAATTGGTAAAAATAAACTTTACATTGAAACTAATTTATTTCGACACATCTTTTATGTCTAGATTTTTAGACATATGTCTAAAAACTGAATATCAGCTGCAACAATGTCCGAACGATTATACCATCCCTTAATTTTACCAACTGCAGACCCTAACTGGACCGCGTTATACATCACTTGATTTTCATGCTGTCTGGTTGATAAAGGTTCTGGTTAGCAAAAATGCAGAATACCTAAAATACTATTTGTTTTAAAGCATAAGCACCAATCACGTTATACAATTTTAAGTCCGTTTTGTATTATACGTCTAAGAACCGACTGAGATACAATTTTTATTGCACTAAACTAGAACTAACACAAGACCTAGAATTAGAATCTTTGGGGTCTAGCCGTTTTGAGAGACGTGGGACTAAATCCGAATATTTCTAGTTCTCGGTTTAGTGTTAGTTCTAGTGGCAGTGGTAGGTAGCGCTAGTTAACATAAGATATTACTATGTTGTATATTTTTATTGAACTATAACTATGACGAGAACTAAAAACAATTGTCAATGCCAACTTTAATTTTATTATTATATTCGTAATCTTCATAAAATAACCTTTCAAGTTAATCCAAACTTGACGCATTTATCTCAAAAAACCAAAAAGTTCGAATTTTTAACTTTTAATTTTGACATATTTGTCAACTTCATAAAAAATCCTTTAAAATGAGTCCAAACTCGACATATTTAACTTTAATATTAATAGAAATACAATCACTTCCGGTTTGAAACGTCAACGTCAAATTTGACATATTTATCATCTTCATTAAAAAACCTTTAAAATGAGTCCAAATATGACGCAGTTATCCCAAAAAGCAAAAAAGTTAGAATAAAAAGCATTAAACCCGAAGTTAGCAACAATGAAGATAGCAATTTAATTTTTAAATGTTAATACCAACCTTAATTTTTGATTTTTTTTATTATATTTCCATGTTTGTGACAAATTTTAACACATTTTATAAAAATTAAGAATATGACAAACTAAAATTGACATTTCAAACCGGAAGTTGCTTATATCTCGAGTAATATTGGAATTAAACGTATCATGTGTGGACTAATTTTAAAGTATTTTTCAGGGCGATTACAAATATGTCAAAATTGACGATGACATTCTTAACCGGAAGTTGATCATAACTTCATTAATATTGTAGATAAATATGTCGTGTTTGTACTCATTTTAAAGGATTTTTAATGAAGATTAGAAATATGTCAAAATTGAGGTTGACATTTTAAACCTGAAGTTAGTTGTCATATAACAGAAGTTTTATAACTGAATTTAATCTAGTGTTAGTCACTTTTTCCTTTCTTTTTATTTTTAACGTGTTTTAGGGTCATTTCACATTGATTAAAGGTTTCTTATTATTTCTTATTATTATTTAACCTGTAAACTTGTAACACATCTTCCTTAATTTCATTTTACAACTTTTTAAACTTTAATTATGTAAGTTAGTAACTATTGATCTGATTTCGACTTTGATGTGTGATCTTTTTTAACAAAACAAAAAGAAATATTAATGCCCGGTTGCACCGTTTACATAGTTGAGCATAACTTAGTTAAGCAGTTCTTATAGTTAAGAAGAACTTAAATTTTATGTCTATTGCACCGACACAACATATACAATGCTCAACTAAGTAACGTTTAAGTATCGGTTATTTGGCAACAACGCCATAAAATTTAGTTATTTTTATAAATTTTAGTAATTTTTTAGGGTTTTTCGTGTTGTCAAGTTAATGTCAGTTGACATTTGACATATACCATGTAAATAACATTTCTACTATTCGTATCATTCCCAACTTCGCGAATATTCGAAGAGTGTTGAGTTATATTGTGAGTTATAAGGACGTTATAAGCAACTGGTTCATTGGAGACACACAGTTGTTTCTGTACAAAACAAGTAGATAGTATTAAAATAATCTAAATTCAGCCTATAAAAGTATAATTTAAAATAATGTATACTACTTACTTATTAGACTTCTATAAAAAATTCTATAATTTCTTGTATTTGTCGTAGAACATACAAACAACTTTGTTTTGTTAGACGAAATCTTTTAAAAAAATTATATTCGTCCATTTCGTGGAAATAATTGGATCTTGTGTATATTAATTTTGGAAAACCAAAATCAATTATTTCCAAAACATCTAAATCGTTGTCGAAAATTTGCAGATCCATTATTTTATTTTATTACTTTTTTAACGTATAGGTTATGTGCGGTTATGTCTATTTGACGTATGCGCTTGAGAACAACTTAAGCACTGGATTTCAAATACTTATATTTGAGAACATCTTATTGATTTTGAGAACGGGTTACTTGACGGTGCAACGCAAATTCACTACTTAAGCATTACTTAGCCTTTAAGCAATGCTTATGTATTACGGTGCAAACGGGCATAAGAAACTTGTTTGTAAAATGGATAGGATGAGAGATGTTAATCTATTTGTAGAGTCTCTGAAGATGGCCAAGGGCCGAAACTGGTTAGACTTAAATTCTATATAAATTAAAAACTCTAAAATTAAAAGTATAAAATCAAACTCTAGATTATTTTCTTCAAAAATTTTTACACGAATCATTTTGTCTCTAGTTTTAGTGATTAAATTTATGCCCTCTGTGCTTGTGATAGCTGTCATCAGTGTTCTGTGATAAAAATGGGTGCCTGTCCATTTTTATCACAGAACACTGATGACAGCTATCACAATTTATCACAACAGCTATCACAAACAATTTTCAATAGTTTGAGCTCGGTTTGTTGCATTCGTCTCTGTTACAGTTACTGTTTACACACGATCCATTCTTTTCTTTTGTACAATCAATACACATTACTACTTCTCGGGACTCGTTTATTCTGTCTTGCAGATCAGAAAAAGGCATTACTTCAAAGGTTGCAGTTTCGATTACTTCTATTGAAGTATTTTCAGTATTGACTGGTATCTCCATAACAACTGGTATTTCCTGTTGTTGGTCATTTAACTGTTCATTTTGCTCTTCTGCTATATCGTCATCGTACTCAGCAACACGTAAATTATTTGTATCTTCAAGTTTCTTTTCCTCCGCTCTTGACAGTATTTCGTTAAGATCCTCTTTTGTTTGTAAATTTTTAATTATGTCACTTGATAAAGTTGTTGAGGATAAACCAATCTTTGGGTTTGTTCCAAATAATGCCCTGTATGAAATACGACCAATAATTCTATGATGGGAGCAGTTTTTTTAAACTGAATGAAGTAGCAGCCAATTGACCAACCTCAACATATTCTTCACATCCTGATTACATCGTTTTATACTGCCCTGTGATTGTAGATGATCTTTGACGGTTTTGATTTCAACAGACGTAGACAGATAAATTTTGTTAAATACTCTTGATAATTAAATAACCATTTGTAGTTTCCATCCTGACATGATTGGTAATTAATCAAGTCTACTTGAGCCAAATTTTCTTGAAATAATCGGCTTGCTTACAAGATTTGCATGTTTGTTTTCTTTTTTCTTGTGGCATGTTTCACAAAACTGCAAAAATGTCTCAATAACAGTAAATGACTAAACAAAGCGCCTGCAGACGCTGTAACGCTCAATCATTTGAGTGTTTACTAAAGTCTTCGTAAGGATCTCAAACAGCTTTTTTATGAACATTGTGTCAAAGGCCTTCTCTAGATAAATGAAGACGAAAAGGGTGTGAGCAAACCCCTCGCTTTTAGGTTACTTGTTGGAGGACAAAAATATTGTTGGAGGATATTGGTGGCCCAAAACGAATTTTTATGAAATTCAAGCTTTTAATATGGCATAAATAAAAAGAAAGAAATGCAATAATGAATTGGAAGATATTCGGAATTCCAAGCAAAACGTAAAGTGTTTTCATTCAACGCACAACAACGCCAATTTTCTGCGCTGACAACTATCATTAGTGAAAGTCCATCAGAAGATTACAAACTGCGCTAATTCCCTAGACAAGAAATACCAAAGCTATTCACATCATTGGAAATGTCATAAAGGCAATCTCGGGTATTCTCGATAATGAAGATGTTATTAGATCGCCGAAATTGAGCAATAACCGGAAATCTGTTATTTCGAGGTTTTCTTGTAATATTAATTTATTTATTCACTTTGTAAATGAAAATATAATTTACAAATATGGGTAGTCGGTCAAAGTTGCATTAGAAATCAATAAAAACCGAACAACGGGTAGTTAATGTATTATCCACTGGACGGAAAAGAATTCCCCTTTGACCCGGTTTTTAGCCATGCATACGCGAGGTCGCCCGCCCTTTCGCGTTCATTCTCCGTTCAAGTGGTGTTATACACGTTCTATAAACCTCAATCACCCCCCGATTCACCTCTCAGGGACTCAGAATATGAGTGACAGGTTTATAGGTCATTGAATAACACCCCTACTTAAATCTTCTTCAAATCCTTTTTTTTTTCGATATTATTATTTTGCTTAAAATTACGTAAGATTTAATTTTTCTATCATTTCGAAATGAAAGAAGTGAATCTTAAAAACAACTCATTCATTGTTGTGTATTAAAAGAAACGACTTCTGTTGCAACCGTTTTTCTCAATATAACGAACAAAAAAGATAAGTTATCGTATTAAAAACAAAGATCCACGCTTATTCGAGGTCATAAATACGTTTGTATGATGTTATCGTGTAAAAACAACTATTATTTCGAAGAGTTATTAAGTTAAAGTGACCTAAATACGATTAAAAAAATAATATTAATGTTATCATTTTTTCAGTATACCTTGATGAGGATTATTATGAACCAAGAACCCCTTGGGGTCGCCCCCGATGTCATCTGTCCCGCGGGACTTCCTAGGTGGAGCGAGGTGCCGGCCCCACCGTTTTTAACCGATTATAGTGCCCTGGGAGATATTCCTGCTCATTCTACGGCCCCGTTTCAATACGACCCAGAAATCAATCACAAAATCATCTTATGGTAAGAAGTGAAATATATACTATAATATCCAGCTATGTCGAGGTCACTTACGGCCTCGTTAGGCGTTACATTTAATGTCTCGGCTCCAGACCCGAAAATAATAGGTATTTTTAAAATTTTTTTGCAATCAGACGAAAGAAGTTTTCTAAAAACCGATTGCAGGATGTGAATAAGCCACTTTTCTAGTTTATTATACAGGGTCATCCACGACGACCGTCCATTAGAACTTTACAGGGTTCTGGCCAAAATAAAAATTTGAAAATTCAGATTTAAGTACAGGGTTTTCCAATAAGAGGTGTTATTTTGATATTCAAAGAAAAATGCCATTTTTTAGTATAAATGATCGGATGTTTATTTCATTATAAAGAAGAAGGTATGCCGTTAATAGTGGAAAATAACATTAGGCAAATGACCACCACGACCACGCTTACAGGACAATATCCTTTCCATGAAATTTTCCATCACCAAATTGCAAAGTGGCTGTCCTGTGTCCTCAATTTTGCTTGTTGACGAAGCCACCGAGGTGGAAATGGGGCTCATCACTCAAGATGATTTTTCGATGGAATTCCGGATCATTTTCATGCATTTCAACGACCCAATCAGCAAAGATACGACGTTGTTGATGATCGGACGGCTTGAGTTCTTGTGTTAATTGAAGTTTATAAGCCTTAAGACCCAAATCTTTATGCAAAATACGGTGTGATGACGTTTGTGGAATGCCTAATTCCAAAGAACGATGAGGAATGGACAAACCTGGGTTTGTCCATTCCGTTCTTCAACACTTTCGGCTACAGCAGCAATATTCTCGGCTGTTCTTGAGCGACGTGCACGGGTTTTATTCTTCACATCACTAACTTGTTCCAACAGCTCGAATTTTTCCACCAATTTCTGTATTGCGGTCCGACAAGGTGCTTCACGACGACCCAAAAATGTTCGAGTTTTACGAACCGTCTCTGCCAAAATTTGACCATTTTTATAGTGAATTTTAATAATTTCAATGCGTTGTTGAAGCGTGTATCGTTCCATTTTTATTAATGGCGTACTTTCTACTTGTCAAATGTAAAAAAATGACAGCTTCAAAAGTGACATCTACCGAAATAACGGGCTATTCAAAATAACACCTCTTATTGGAAAACCCTTTATTATCAATTGCGTTCTCTTCGACTAAAATATTTTCAGATATTTAACACTTCCGGTTATACCGGTAGTCGCCACCTACTTTATTTTTTTAAATGGAACACCTGTATATTTTTACATATTTGGATTTGTCTGTTTTCAAGGTTTATGAATAACTTTACTTTTTGCAATTTGATTCGGCCGTTCTCGAGTTATTCAAATTTTTTTAGAAAAATCTGCTCCAGCAGACATTTGTTCAAAAAATCAGAGAACACTCGATTTTTGGGATATCAATTTAGGATTCAGAACATGCTTAAGCAACATGATGGACTATGTTTTGGTGCCGAGTACGGCTGTCTAGAACGTTTGGTCACTTTACTATGGCACGTTACCTTTTCGAAACTTGGAAGTACCATAACTTCATTTTTTTAAATGGCACACGCCATATTTTTTTACTTACTTGTCTTCGGTGTCTCATTTTACATCTTTTATATTCCATATGTCCTATAGCTAACATTTATAGTTTGGGAGATAATTAGGGTTTTTTGAAAAATGCACACACATCATATCGATATTTAACCTAGCGTGCCATGAATACCTAGTGCGACCTAGTGAATAACCGAATGAAGTGGAGGATTGAAAATTTGCAGACTTGTGATGTTTGATGCCAGCTTTTAACTAAAGTATTTTCAGGTTCTGGGTGCTTGTGGTTACACCGGAAGAGGTGACAATTTTCATATTTCAGGTTCTGGAATATGAAAATGTTGGGTCAAATGGAACCCAACCCTGACTTTTATTAAATTTTTCAATCAAAAATGTCAACTACAAGGTTAATTTTTGTAATTTGTAAATCATCTACTTTGACCGGCGGAAAAAAATTTTGTGTTGGGAATGTTGTTGTGGTTATGTATTATCAGAGGATCAGTAAGGAAAGAGTAAATAGTTTGACATTTTCTAAAGCTATGGTTTATTTCTGTTGGTGTGATGACTAGGTTACTTTTTGTAGTGATCTGTTCTCAAGAAATGCCACGTTTGGAATTTAGTAATGACGATTATTTGAATCTGATAATAATATGATATGGAGAGTGCAACCAAATAATTGCGCGTACGTGTCGGCTGCAACATACAAGTGGCCTAAAATCGAACACAAATTTCAAAAATGTTATGAAATACAGGGTGTTCCATTTCAAATATGAAAATTGTCACCTAAGTACCCGGCAAATGAAAATATTTTAGTAAAAAGCTGGCATCAAACATCACAAGTCTGCAAATTTTCAAAAGGCCATTTCATATGGTTATTCACTAGGTCACAATAGGTATTCATGGCACACTAGGTTAAATACCGATATGATATGTGTGTATTTTTCAAAAAACCCTAATTATCTCCCAAACTATAAATGTCAGCTATAAGACATATAGGATATAAAACGGTCGCCGTGGATGACCCTGTCTACATATTTTATTTATTAACAGTTATTAAAATTGCACCCGCTAGATGTCGGTAATGTTAGGCTTGCAAATCGTGCAGGGTCAAACTGTGCGCAGGATTTCTCCTAACGCGTAAGTCGAATAATTAAAACTTGAATACGACTACTTTAGTAAACTCAAAAACTAGGGAACTACGTAGGATTTTTAAAAAATATTCATTTTTGACGAAATGGTAACGATTTTACAAGAAATGTCGTATTTATCGATAAAAAACGTACATAAAAATGGTTGTAAAACAGAGAATCTGAGACATATCGAAAAACGGCTACGTACTTACCTAGAATAAGATAATACAAACTTTTGAAAAAAAAATCTTGAAAATCCGTTGAAAATTGTGGAAGTTATCGTGTGCACAGATTGGAAAAATGTAGTTTCCAGAAAAACGCGTTTAAAGTTTTAGAATGTAAAAAATTCTATATTTTTTCTAGATACATCTAATCAGCGATTCCTGCATCATACTTATTGCTTATTTTCATCTTCTGCAGCTTTTCTGTCTGACAGTAGGCTTCTACGAGCTTCTTTAGCCTCAGCAGTCATGGAGCACTCAGCGCGAGCAATGCGATTTAAATCCGTTTCATGACAAAAGTCGAAGCACGATCTTCCAATTGTTAATTTCAGTGCTTGCATTATTTCCATAATGCTTGTAAGACCGTCATTAAAATTGCAAGCAGCTACTTATATCAGACGCAATGTCAACCACTTTCTTGTCACTATGAATAGTTTTTGGTGCGATAGACCATAATGCAGCGTTGTAACTTTCATTGCTGTTTTGCGTATATCCCCCTAAACATCTTGTCAAAAGATCTTCCCTTGATAGTTCTTCGTACACAGATTTCACTGCGTTGAAAACATCTTTGCCGATTGCTGGCTTGTGAATGTACAGGGTGGTTCAAATTCGATGTCCGAATAGGCTAACTCGGAAACTATAAGAGTTAGAAAAAAAGTAGCTTACATGTCATGATCTCGTTTTTCGAGAAACTGCTAATGCCGAAAACCTCATAGCGCTATCGTCTTTTGTTTTTCCCCTAGAGGCCAAAATTGGAAATATCGTAAAACCAGCAAGTGCAATTATCTTCGTTATTATTATAGGTGGAGTATT